CGCCGATTCTAAATATGGAGCGAAAAAACAGAAGATCCGGAGAAAATTCCATGTGACCACGGGAAGAGAGAGAGAGACACCGCAAACTCCAAATATACAACAGCAGGCGTCAAGGTCGGGATCGAACCCACGGTTTCCTGCATACCTGGCGAGGTAGTTAACATCTTCTAGCCACCGTGATGATGATGAGAGAGAGAGACACGCAAACTCCAAATATACAGCAGCAGGCGTCAAGGTCGGGATCGAATCCACGGTTTCCTGCATACCAGGCGTGGCCGGGAATGTAACGAGACGCAGAGTGCAAGACCAGTGAGTGCGCTATGAACCTGGCGACCCCTCAACTGGGTTCGAATCCTGGTCACGGCTAACATCACGGGAACGCTGCGGTGGCTAGGAGATGTTAACTACCTAGCCAGGTATGCAGGAGGTCGTGGGTTCGATCCCGACATTGACGCCTGCTGTATATTTGGGGTTTGCGTGTCTCTCATCATCACTATCATCATCACGGTGGCTAGGAGATGTTAACTACCTCGCCTGGTATGCAGGAAATCGTGGGTTCGATCCCGACATTGACGCCTGCTGTATATTTGTAGTTTTCGGTGTCTCTCTCACCCCGTGGTAGCGTGGATTTTTCTCCGGGCCCTCCTGGGTCTTCCCTCCGAATGTAGAATTAACATCGCGCGTTCAGATTATTTGGCTGCTTTCAACAATTCTGCGTGGTGATGGTGAGTCCACTACGTTGAGCTATCACGTGCGGCCAGGTCGCTTCTGAAAAAAAATCTACGCAGCTCAGTGGAGTGGGGTGGGGCTTTACCTGGTAAAATAAAAATAAATAGTTGAATGTTTATTTTATCAGTGGCGGCGAGTGATAGATGCCGTAATCTGTGATAACCGGGTCCTGGGGCCACGTCCATCAGGACAAGCCTCGCGCTAACCGACTTGGTGAAGTGTGAGAGAGGGGATGCTTTCATCCGCCACTCGCAATTACTACCCTCTGAGATTAGCGCAGTGCGCTAACCGTTGCGCCACCGCTCCAACCCTGAAGGGGCTTTGGACACCGTCAATTAATTTCCATCCGTGATGAGTGATGAGATCAGAGGAGGGCATGATTGCGACACCCTCGCTAGCGTCCAACTGATATATATTTAAATACTTACGTAGCTGTATTCCGTCTGAAAATAAAATCCAAAGGGCGGCATTCATTCATTCTCATAGGGTTGTCGCAATCACTCGAAGATCCACTGCTCGGCTTTCACAACCTTTAATCTACCAGCGGCACCTGCAAAGCGGGACGTGGGGGGGGGGGCACCGGGGGGGGGGGGGGCACCACGATACGTGCCCCGTGTCTCTCGTGTGTGGGAGCGGGGGGCAGTGGACGATTACTTGAACCGCTCCTCGGCTATCCCCTAGGTCGACTCAGCCTCAAATGAGCGCCCGGTGCGGCGTTTCTTGTTGTCTCCACCCCCTCCCCCACCAGCACCTTCGATTAGCACGGTGCGATAGAAGTTCAACACGGATACATAAACACGTACGAAACTGTATTGGGCCTCCCCTAGGTCGACTCAGCCTCAAATGAGTACCTGGCGCGATGTGCAAACATCGCCGCTCGGGAGACGAAGGCGGCCGGGCGTGGTGCTGGCCACCCATCCCCTCGTGTGCCGTGCCGGCCTTCATAGGTGCTGCTCGCTAACAGCACTTGCCCCTACAGTCTGGTTCAGGCTATGACGGGAGATCTTTGTTCTTTGTTTCTGAGTATGCCCGTGCGATGAGTTGTGGCGCTGTGAGCTGTACGCTGGCAACCCCAGTTGAATTCCCGATCACGGCCAACATCATTGACGACATTTCATCTCCCTCGTCTCGCACGCCGGAGCGCAAGGGCTCGATCCCGGACCCTGACGATGCCTGTCATGTTTGGAGTTCGCGTGTTTTTTTAAATCTCCATGTTCTGTACAGTTGGAGTGTGCGTTAGTGTGTTAGTTTGTGTGAGCCAGTGTGTGAGTGCTGGTCTGTGTGAGTGAGTGAATGTGTGTGAGTCTCTTAAGACTCATAAGGGGGTTTTCGTTGGTGTGTTTGTGTAAGTTTGAGTGAGAGTCAGTGCGTTAGTCTGTGTGAGTGAGTGAGTTAGTCTGTGTGAGTTAGTCTGTGTGAGTGAGTTAGTCTGTGTGAGTGAGTTAGTCTGCGTGAGTGAGAGTGATTGAGTTAGTCTCTGTGAGTGAGTCTGTGTAAGTGAGTCTGTGTGAGTGAGTGTGAGTAAGTAAGAGTGTGTGAGTTAGTCTGTGTGAGTGTGTGAGTTAGTCTGTGTGAGTGTGTGAGTTAGTCTGTGTGAGTGAGTGAGTCTGTGTGAGTAAGTGAGTGTGAGTGAGTCTGTGTGAGTGAGTGAGTCTGTGTGAGTGAGTGAGAGTGAGTGAGTCTGTATGAGTGTGAGTGAGTGAGAGTGAGTGAGTGTGAGTGAGTCTGTATGAGTGTGAGTGAGTGAGTGTGAGTGAGGGTGAGTGAGTGTGAGTGAGTGAGTCTGAGTGAGTGAGTGAGTCTGTGTGAGTGAGTGAGTTAGTCTGTGTGAGTGAGTTAGTCTGTGTGAGTGAGAGTGAGTGAGTCTGAGTGAGTAAGTGAGTCTGTGTGAGTGAGTGAGTGTGAGTGACTGAGTCTGTGTCAGTGAGAGTAAGTGAGTGAGTGTGAGTGAGTTTGTGTGAGTGAGTGAGAGTGAGTGAGTCTGTGTGAGTGAGTGAGTGTGAGTGAGTGAGTCTGTGAGAGTGAGTATGTGAGTTAGTCTGTGTGAGTGAGTGCGTGTGAGTGAGTGTGAGTGAGTTAGTCTGTGTGAGTGAGTGAGCCTGTGTGAGTGAGTGAGAGTGAGTGAGTCTGCGGGCTAGGTGTTGGTGCTACCACCCCCTCGTAACCCACACGCCGATCTATCAATAGGCGCTCGCTAACAGCGCGTGCAGGCCACACGTGGCCTCATTGTGTGTTTGTTTGCTGTTGCACGTGCGGGTATTACGACACAGGGTTCAAGGCGGGGTGAGTAGGGTGTGAGTAGGGGGGGTGAGTTGGGGGTGAGTAGGCGGGGTGGGGGGGTGTGAGTCGGGGGTGAGGGGCAGGGGACAAGGTGAGTGGTGAATGAGAGGTGTGAGTAGAGGTGAGGGGAGACGGGTGAGCAGGGGTGAGTGGGGGTTAGGTGAGGAGTGAGTGGAGGTGTGAGTGGTTATGAGTGTGGGGTTAGTAGGGCTGTGGGTGAGTGAGTGAGGGGAGGGGTGAGTGGGTGGGTCATGGTGATGACCTGTGAGTGAACCCACGCGCCACACGTGACTCACGGAGCAGAGCGGTCAAGGTGTGTCTCAAACGAGTACCTGGCGCAGTGTGTCAACATCGCCGCTAGGGAGACAAAGGCGGCCGGGCGTGGTGCTGACCACCCACCCCCTCGTGTGCCACAGTGCCGGCCTCCAAAGGCGTTGCGCGAACGGCACTTGCCCTAACATTCCGCGAAGGTTACGCGGGGGATCTTTGTCTTTTTAATTCGTGCATTGGGTTCAAGAGCTGGAGTCAAACTTGGATGTGAGCCCTGCGGTCGTTCCCGGCCACGGGACCCGCCTTTAGGTCATCACTCCACCCGCCCCCCCCTCGTGTGTCGCGCCAGCCTTAATAGGCGCTCGCTAACAATGTTGGTTAGAAGCAGTGCCGGATTATTCTAGTAGCAAAAGTAGCTACATGTGTAGTAGCTACATGCGTAGTAGCTACATGTGTAGTAGGATCGGTAACGAACCCACGACCTCCTGTACACCAGGCGAGGTAGTTAACATCTCCTAGCCACCGTGATGATGGTTAGAGAGAGAGAGACACACACAAACTCCAAATACACAGCAGGCGTCAGGATCGGGAACGAACCCACGGCCTCCTGTATATCAGGCGAGGTAGTTAACATCTCCTAGCCACCGTGATGATGATGAGAGAGAGAGAGACACGCAAACTCAAAATACAGCAGCAGGCGTCAGGATCGGGAACGAACCCACGACCTCCTGTACACCAGGCGAGGTAGTTAACATCTCCTAGCCACCGTGGCAGCTCGACGCTTACGCTGGAAATTAGCATCCAGAATCCCGATCGCTGACAACAACAGAAACCCCAAAGGTCAATTGCCATCGTAATTTGTCCACGCAGTGACGACAGCTCGGATCGATTGGCTCCAAAGTCGGGTGGTGGAGGGTTCTGGGGGAAAAAAAAAACAATTTAATTAAAATTGACATTATACAACCACGCGTACATCTAACCCCAGCAAAAAAAAACCAAAAGACTAAAATTGATTCTTAGGTTTTTTTCGGTAAAGTCACGTAGGTAAAACATTAAAAATCACGACGTTTCGGAGGCAACACAAGTCTCCGTCATCAGGTGTGTTGCCTCCGAAACGTCGTGATTTTTAATGTTTTACCTACGTGACTTTACCGAAAAAACCTAAGAATACGCCTTGCAGTCACGAAAGCTTCAAATCTAGAACTAAAATTGATATTATACAACCACGCGATCACCTAATCCTAGCAAAGAAAAAAACACACAAAACGAATTATGACTCGTGCTATATATTGGTGGCGAAAGCCTACGTGTGAATTGAAGCAAATGTGCTAAACCGTAATGATTATTCATTACTTTAACAAGCGGTAGGAGGCTTTCGTGATCAATGTCATCCATACTAGAGTTGTATTGCTTAGGTTAGATCGCCTGAATATAAATGTGTCGTTAAACCCGCCACCACCCGACACGGCCAATTAGTGAGGTTCGTCACGTGAACAGCCCGTGCCAATCAAATTACTACTTCAGCACACACCGGTAGCGTGTTGGAGGAGAGTAAACCCACACAACATTTAATAATTTGAGTAAGGGTGGTGGCGGGTTTTACGACACATTTTATATTTACGCGACGCCCCCCCCCTCCCCCCAAATCCCCCCTATTATTATTGATGATTAATTACGATTAATCACAATTAGTAATCATATTTGTTTATTTATTTTCACAGGTTTGACGGCGATCCCATCGAAGACCCCCCCACCCCACCGTGTCATCCGGTTTCCGGGGAGGACGGAGTGAGACTTTAATTTCCGCACCGAATTCTCCGACTTTCAACTCAAAGTCCATCCTCGTGAACGTCTTCTGAAAATAAATAAATACATACACCACACACACAACATCTATATTTTCATGCATTGTTAAAATGCCACCGATATCATCAACCGTCTGATCTCACCACGCAAAAACAACAACAAATAAGGGTTAAGTTTAGCTTTGTGTTAAACGTCTTGGGGGTAGGCACACACACGGGTTAAAGCGCAGCTCCCACAATCACCTGCTCGCATCACTGCTGGGGGAAGTGGCCCGCACTAGAGGCTGCACTACAGAGCCCCTCTAGATATATTGTTGTTGTTGTGATGTTCTTACCACGTGGCCCTGCTGGACATCTGTAAAAATCGCTTTTTTAAAATCCTTTATATTAAGTTCACTTGCTTGCTCGCTTGCGCGCTTACCGACCGTGCAAATCTTTCGGTCGTTTTTTAACCCACTTCACCGTGATCCAATCGAGCTGAGATTTTGCACACAGACTCGTTGTGCGTGACAATTTATTTTCGTGAATTTTTTTTTCTCCAAAATTTTACACTTTTTAGGAAAAAATTAATTATATTTAATTACCAATTGCTTAATGGTGGCAGGCAATCATCTGACCCATAGGTGGCAGCCATCTCAAGCCAGAGGACGAGAGGACTCTAGCCGCCACGCATATAAAGGATTTATAGTGAAAAACTTAGTTTTTACGGGTTAATTTTTTAGCCCAACCAGATTCCTCCTGCAGTATAAATCCACATTCTGATTCTGAGATTGGATGAAGGTTGGAGCTCCATGTGACACCGAACACGTTGCACAGGTCCCCGTTATCGAGATTCGCTTCCACAATGTGATTCTTAGACGTGCATTTAAAATATCTTGACGCACGAAACAAGTGGACACGGCTTAAGTTAACAACGTACAGCTATTGCTTGGGTTTATTTTTGTTTAAATATTATTTTTCTTGAAGTGTCTACAGCTTCAGTCGGCATTCGGACATGAGCGAGTCACGTGACCAACAGCCATACTTCACCCCGATTCAGAGTAGCAACGCGCAGAGCGTTATGGAGACGGCCGGCAACTTCATGAGCATGCTGAGCCAGCCTGGGTTCAACCACCAACACCACCACCACCAGCAGCAGCACTACCACCACAACCATCACAACAGTGGAAAGCAATAGCCACGGTGTGGACAATGTTAATGCTTTGACCATTGATGACGAGGATGGAGGTGGTGGTGGAGGAGGAGGTGATGGTGGTGGTGGCAACGATGCCTCCTCCACCTCCAATCGGAGATCTTACATCGACGATGGCAACAGCAGCAGCAGCGGCAGCAGCAGCGGCAACAGCAGCAGCAGCAGCGTCCTGGATTCGATTCTCTCCCACGTGAACTCAAGAATGGAGCCGAACGACGTTCAGCAACAGCATCAGCATCATCATCAGCATCATCATCAGCAGCAGCAACATGATCTGCAGGATCAGCAACAACAGCATCATCATCATCATCAGCAGCAGCAGCAGCAGCAGCAAGGGAAGAGTCGGAGGAGGAAGGATGCGGGAGGGTTAAGAAACCCGGACAAGGCGAGCGACGAATATCGACGGCGACGCGAACGTAACAACGTGGCCGTTCGGAAGAGTCGCTTCAAGAGCAAACTGCGCGCAGCGGAGACTCTGAGAAGGGCGGCCGAGCTGCGCGCCGAGAACGATCGGCTCACGGCCAGAGTTCGCCTCCTGTCCAAGGAGCTGAGCGTCCTACGGGGTCTCTTTGGCGAGAAGGAGCGGCGAGGTGGCGATGGGGGCGGTGGTGTCGGCGATGAGTTCGCATCGGCTGGGCTCGGAGGAGAGGTATCGGATGAACTCGCGGTCTGCCAGCACCGCAGTGCCATGCTGCTGCAAGAGGCGTGCAAGGAGGAGGCGGACGATGATTTGGTGGTGAGCGAGAGGATGGCTGACGGCGGTGGCAACGATGGTGGAGGTGGCGGCGGCGGTGGCGAGGTGGTGGGACGAGGGAGAAAGTCACGAATTCACGACAGCGTGCTCAAGCGAGAACACGACCTCCACGTTCACGGGAGGGTGCAATACCAAGACCAACAAGGTGTCACACCGGCCGTGAACTTCTTGCAGCAACATCACCACCACCATCAGCACCAGCAGCAGCAGCATCAGCACCATCAGCAGCATCAGCAGCAGCAGCAACATCATCACCTTCACGAGATGCAAAGCGGACGCGGCCTGCATCCGGCTCACGGACACGTTTCTAGTGACCTCCACGATTTGCTCTTCCCACCTCCCGCACCTCTCTACCTCGGAGGTCCTCACCGCGATTTCCTGCTGGGTCCGTCAGCGCCCTGGGCGGCTCCGCACAGGCAAAGCCCGGCGCGCGCCGTCGTCGCGGCTGCCGCGGATTTCTGCGCGGCCTCCGCGGATTTCTGCGCGGCTCCGTCCGAAGTCGGAGGCGCGCCGAGGCACGCGTACGGCGACGAGTGAGCGTCATCTCGTGGCCACGAGGAGGCGGTGATTGGTGGTGGTTGTGGTGGTGCTGATGATGATGATGGTGGTGATGGTGATGATGTGGGGGAGCCGTGGCGTAGCAAACAGCGCGCCGCGCCACGAGACCCCGAGATCGAATTCCGGCTCACGGTTACCAACAGCGGTGACGATTTTTTGAACTGGTCATGGGCCTGGGTCGACTCAGCTTCAGATGAGTACTCTGCATGGAGCGCGATGTGGAAAGATCGCCACTGGGAAGACAAAGGCGGACGGGATTGGTGCTGGCCACCCGCCCCCTCGTGTGCCGTGCCGGCCTTCATAGGTGCTCGCGAACAGCACTTGCCCCAACAGTCTGTGAAGGCTACACGGGTAATCTTTGTCTTTGAAGATGATGATCGCAAGTTCAGAACAATGATTTATTATTATGACGATGATGGTGGTGCTGATTGTCGAACAAAATAGGAACGATGACGGTGATGGTGATGGTGAGAGAGACACTTAAGAATTGTAATGATGGTGTTTGTGGCGTTCGTGGTAAACACATTTGAACGATGATGATGGTTGATGGTGGTGATGATCATACACTAGGAACAACAATGATGATGATGGTCATACACGCGATTATGGTGGATGACGCTCAGCAATAAGGAACAACTGGTGATGATGATGATGATACAAGTGATGATGATGATGATGGTGAAAAACTATCGAAAGGCAGATGTTTGCGATGGTGGTCATGGGTAGTGGAGTACGGGGTTGTTGATGGTGGTGATTAAAATCTGAAATTGTGTTTCTGTACGTGATGGGGGATGATGTAAAGGAGAGGTGATGATGATGGATGATGATGATGATGGATATTGTCGAGATGATGTATATTTGTGGACGAAAGCGATAATGATGGTACTATTGATGGTGTTGGCAATGATGGTCGTGTTGGTGGTGACATTGACGCTGATAATGGCAGCGGTGGTGTGATTGTTGGTTGATGCGTGTAGCTATGATGCCTTTACGATGGCGATGATGGTGATGGTACAAGCACCCAATACAGAGAATCCGCATGATCGTCCACCATCATCTTCGTGTCTAAGTGTTGGCAATTTCTCGTATCATCTCACGACCGATGAAAAGAACGCACGCCACGTGGTGGTGGTGGTGGCGATGCAAATTTGCGACCACGGCGGAAACTGGCAGAAGAAAGGAACCGGTAAACTTGGTGTGATTCCAGCGGTACGGTGTTCGCTCCTCGTTCTCGGAGAGAGAGAAAGAAAGGTGGATGACTCAGAGAGAAAAAGGGGGATGACTTAGAGAGAGAGGACGACTTGAGAGAGAGGGCGACTCATAGAGAGGGGACAACTTGGAGAGACTTTTGACTTTTAAACAACTTTTATTGCCGCCAGCAGCAGCAACAGCACTGGAGGCGATTCCGATACGAAATACACAAAGTCACCAGCAAACAAATGAAAATAAACAAAAGCTATAAATCCACGCGCTGTGGAGCTAAATGCACCGCGCACAACACGAAAGAAAAGTCACGTGGTGGTGGTGGTGGTCACAACTTGGAGAGAGAGAGGACGACTCAGAGAGAGAGAGAGGGCGACTCAAGAGAGAGAGGACGACTTGAGGGAGACAGAGGGGCGACTCAGAGAGAGAACAACTCAGAGAAAGAGAGAGGATGACTCGGAGAGAGAGAGGAGACGACTCAGAGAGAGAGGATGACTCAGAGAGAGAGACGGGACGACTCAGAGAGAGAGGGGACAACTCAGAGAGAGAGAGGGACGACTCAGAGAGAGAGAGAGAGGGGACGACTCAGATGCGCTGGGAGATTGAACCACAGACGATTGGGAAGGCAGCAGCAACAGCAGCAGCTACGCGTTGACGAACCGGCACTACCTACCATTGTCCAAGTTCTACGGTCCTCTACATAGCAAGGTGTTATCGTCCGACGAATGGATGTGCACCCGTCGAGGAGGAAACCGCAGTGACTCGGTTTGTTTGTGTTTCAACATCTTGCTGTACCGCCATCTCCTGGCGAGTCGGGGTACGGCTCGTTCCTCTCGTCGTCCACCCCACGGGGGAGGGAGTGCAGGACACCGTCTGTGTTGAGAGCGCGTGCGTGATACATCAACCATTGCCGGTGCATCCAGAGTGCTGCAGTACAGTCGGCCACGTGCGTAGTCATCGCCATCGCCTCGACATCATCATCATCATCATCGTCTTCTTGGTTCTTTCGGTAAAGTCACGTAGAAGGGAAATAATAAAAGAATAAAACATAATAAAATAATTCTCACGACGTTTCGGCCACAACGCAAGCAGCCGTCCTCAGGTGAAGACCAGGTCTGTCGGGGAGACAGCGTCTGAATGAAAAGACGTTAATACAAATAAAACATACAATAATTCTCACGACGTTTCGGCCACAACGCAAGCAGCCGTCCTCAGATGAAAGACCAGGTCTGTCGGGGAGACGGCGTCTTTTCATTCAGACGATGTCTCCCCGACAGACCTGGTCTTCACCTGAGGACGGCTGCTTGCGTTGTGGCCGAAACGTCGTGATAATTATTTTATTATTTTTATTTGTATTATTTTATTACTTCCATTCTACGTGACTTTACCGAAATAACCAAGAAGATGAATCCCTGCAGTCACGAAAGCTTTAAATCGAAATCATCATCATCGTCGGCATTACCACCCCCCACATCGCCGTAGTCGTGGTCATGGACTTGTGGGGTAAGTATTTCTTCTCCTGGACAAACATGTTTAGAGGTGGAATCTTTCCCATATTTATTAACTCGGCTTAAACCCGCACCTGTGTGCTTGGTTTGTTCTTTCCACTGCTGGATGATGACGAGGAGGAGGAGGAGGCGCCTCCTGCCGTCTCTGTGCGAATCGTCCAAATGGTTATTTTGACCATACTTCACCGCTCTGGTCAGTGTGAGTTGATGAATCATCCAAAATGCATCCGATCTCGGAAGCGATGGTGTTTAAATTATTTTTAAATGTATATTTAATGTAGGCAACCGATATGCATCACAGGTTTTCTATCGGCTGCCACGATCGGGCAGCAGATTGGCGGGGCAGTGGGGCAACAGTGCAGCAAAATCAATTGTTGTACCGCACCTCTATGTTCCCGACGACTTGTATTCCTCCCCGCGTTCACCGCCATACCCAAGCAGACCAGCGCGGTGATGTATGGTCATTATACTACCCACGGGCCGAGTTGGAAAGGCGTTCATAGGGGCAGTGGATCGACATGGAAGGCGACTTTGCGTGTAACTTGCGGCGCCGGTTATGCCCCGGTTTACGTCGGGGATGCGTTCCTGAAAGGTGCGGCGACGAATATCGAAACGACGTTGAATCGAAGCGAGTGGCAGGGTAGGGAAGGGTGGTTGGTGGTGGTGGTGGTTGGTGGTGGTGGTGGTTGGTGGTTGGTGGTGGTTGGTGGTGGTGGTGGTTGGTGGTGGTGGTGGTGGTTGGTGGTGGTTGGTGGTGGTTGGTGGTGGTTGTGGTGGTTGGTGGTGGTTGGTGGTGGTGGTGGTTGGTGGTGGTTGGTGGTGGTGGTTGGTGGTGGTGGTTGGTGGTGGTTGGTGGTTGGTGGTGGTGGTGGTTGGTGGTGGTTGGTGGTTGGTGGTGGTTGGTGGTTGGTGGTGGTTGGTGGTTGGTGGTGGTGGTGGTTGGTGGTGGTGGTGGTGGTGGTGGTGGTGGTGGTGGTGGTGGTGGTTGGTGGTGGTGGTGGTGGTGGTGGTGGTTGGTGGTGGTGGTGGTTGGTGGTGGTGGTGGTGGTGGTGGGTGGTGGTTGGTGGTGGTGGTGGTGGTGGTTGGTGGTGGTGGTGGTTGGTGGTTGGTGGTGGTTGGTGGTGGTGGTGGTGGGTGGTTGGTGGTGGTTGGTGGTGGTTGTTGGTGGTGGTGGTTGGTGGTGGTTGTTGGTGGTGGTGGTGGTTGGTGGTGGTTGGTGGTGGTGGTGGTTGGTGGTGGTTGGTGGTGGTGGTAGTTGGTAGTGGTTGGTGGTTGGTGGTTGTTGGTGGTTGTTGGTGGTGGTGGTGGTGGTTGTTGGTGGTTGGTGGTGGTGGTGGTGGCGAAGGGGCTGAGAGGCGACGGATAACAATGACAGGACGGGAGGTGATGCTGTCAGCGACGTGAGTGTGGGACGACGTAATTGCGAAACGACGTACAACGGGAAGACTTACATCGGGGTATTACCGTGTCATATTTGTCGCTGTGTTTGACTTAATTCGTACATCGTGGCCTACAGGTCAGGAGGCGTAGAGGGTTATTATATTTATTTTAACACTTCACATATGTCATTGGAACCTCCTTTGCCAGTAGCAAAATATGATAATTGGGTTTGAACCCTTTTATCTGGCAACCAAACTGACACCTTTTTTCTCTCTCTCATACTCTGATGGTACATTGTCTTTGAGTTGTGCGCCTTTTACTGTCATTTGGTCCAACACCATGTGAGACTAGGCTCTTAGAAAAGCTGTCTCGGGTGTGGACCAATCAATTTCAAGGACAGTGTATATATTATCAGAGTTGTGTTTTTTTGTTGTTTGCATTCCGACCGCAGGTATTGTGGTCAATGCAAACATGACTCCTTGTAAAATAAAAAAGGTGTCAGTTTTGTTGCCAGATAAAAGGGTAAAAAAGCAATTATCACTTCACATAAGGTTATTTAATTTATTGTAACACATTTTGAAACGGACTTCCATGAACATGTATGTATGATGCGTGAATTTTCGTTGAGGATCGTTGCAAACGTTCATCAATTATGATTTAAGTCTCAAGTCATACAGGGTTCTTGTTTGGTCGAGCGTTTGTTAAAAAGAAATATTCAAATATATTAATAATAGTAGATAAATACACGAAAATATATTTTAATGTTAAAATAAAATACGTAATAATGTTTAAATATATAATATAATAATAATAGTTCAATTTGTAACGCGCGCAAATTTGCAGACGTAGTGGCCGCAACTCAAAAACTGTAGCTTTATAAAGATAATTAAAAATATATTTCAATAATGATAGGTACAATATGAGCGTGAAGTTTCGACAATTACAGTTTTAATGCCAGTATTACATTCAGCTCAACAACTCTATGTGTCCTGACTTCTGGGCCGCTGTAAATGTGCGGGATTTTATTTTTCGACACTATATTTAAGGACCTTATTTTATATATATATATATATCTTCAATTGTTGACAACACGTGAACTCATGTTCAAGAATGTAAACTATTCCATTTGATGGACGGAATAAAGTGTAACTGAAACACGTTATTCTTCAAACTTGTATGTGCGTACGCATGTAGGTTGGACTTCTTTCGCACCGTACGTAGCCAGCCGCGATTATCGGAGGTGTGGGGGAAGAACAAGAAACTAAAACACATTTTTTTTTCAAGAAATAAGTTTTCAATGTCGTCGAAAATCGAAGATATGCGCACGAAGTACGTTTTTTTAAAAAAAAAGGGCCGTCCATAAATGACGTCACGCACCTAGGGGAGGGGTGGGGTCAGACATTTGTGACAATGTGTGACGAGGGGGGGGGGGGGTGAGAAATGTGACGTCACAACAAAATGCGCAACTTTTAATAAATATAGACAACACGTTCTACTTAATTAAATATACTTTTTAATAAATGTTTTCTCCTACAACATCAGAGTGCAGCGCCACATTAAATACGCACTACAATGACAATAGTTTAAAGCGATTTGAAGCATGTTTTATTTTTTTTGGGGGGTGGGCAGAGCTTTGTGACATCATATTTGAGGGGGGGGGTCTGACTTTTTGTGACGCCGTATGACGATAAGGGGGGGGGGGGGGGGTAAAATATCATCCAAAATCGCGTGACGTCATTTATGGACGGCCCTAAAGTACTCTGTATTGTCGAAAATCAAACATTTACAAAGTCATCGGACGAAGCAAAATGTATCGTGCCGTAGTAACCGCGCGCGTGCTTCAAGCCACAACATCGTGGGCAGTGGTTTCGGATTCTTGGAATTCATCAGCAGTGCTGTGGCCACTTTCAAGAAATGCCTAAAGGGTTGCGTGCCAGCCCCTTAGAGTCACGTGTCGGGTACAGCAAGGTGGTACGAAATATGTTGACGAATGTATGAAGGTATAAACATTTACGCAACGCAAACGCTGTGATCTTTTTATCGCGGGATCTCAAAGTACTTTGTTATTCCGCTCGCGATATGAGTTTATTACTCGTGTTTATTTTATATATGTATATTTTTTTATTCGCTCGTAAAATATCCCACGAGTTTTTTATTCGGGGGATGTCCTGGACAAAAACAAGTAAACCCGTAAAAACAAAGTTTTTCACTATAAATCCTTTATATGCGTGGCGGCTAGAGTCCTCTCGTCATCTGGCTTGAGATGGCTGCCACCTATGGGTCAGATGATTGTCCGCCACCATTAAGCAATTGGTAATTAAATATTTAATTTGTTTTCCCTAAACAGTGTAAAATTTTCACGAAAATTAATTGTCACACACAACGAGTCTGTGTGGAAAATGTCAGCTCGATTGGATCACGGGAAGTGGGTTAAAAAACGAGCAAAATATTTGCACGGTCGTAAGCAAGCAAGCACGCAAGCAAGCAAGCGAACTTAATATAAAGGATTTAAAAAACGTGATAATTAGGTAGAGGCGCAGTCCCTGCAAGTGCCGGCTCACGTCACTTCCGGCGGGAAAAAAATGGCTTCCACTAGAGGCCGCCTACAGAGAGAGAGAGACCCTCTGTAGATTGTTACTCGGCCTACTCCTCCTGTGGAAGAGGTGGCAGTATCCACACTTTAGGGGCCGTCCATAAATGACGTCACGCACCTAGGGGGGTGGGGGGGGGGGTCAGACATTTGTGACGATGTGTGACGAGGAGGGGGGGGGTTGAGAAATGTGACGTCACATCAAAATGCGCAACTTTAAATAAATGTAGACAACACGTTCAACTTAATTAAATATACTTTTTTTATAAATGTTTTTTCCTACAACATCAGAGTGCAGCGCCACATTAAATATGCACTACAATGACAATAGTTTAAAGCGATTTGAAGCATGTTTTTTTTTGGGGGGGGGGCAGAGCTTTGTGACATCATATTTGAGGGGGGGGGGTATGACTTTGTGACGCCGTATGACTATGGGGGGGGGGGGTAAAAATCATCCAAAATCGCGTGACGTCATTTATGGACGGCCCCAAAGTACTCTCTATTGTCGAAAATCAAACATTTACAAAGTCATCGGACGAAGCAAAATGTATTGTGCCGTAGTCACGCACCTGGGGGGGGGGGGGGGGGGGTCAGACATTTGTGACGATGTGTGACGAGGAGGGGGGGGGAGAAATGTGACGTCACATCAAAATGCGCAACTTTAAATGAATATAGAATTTTTTTATTGAAAGCTTTCGTGACTGCAGGGATTCATATTCTTGGT